TATATATATATATATATATATATATATATATATATATATATATATATATATATATATATAAATTTCTTAGAGTGTCAAGTGAGAAAGGAAGTGATACAATTCCCAATAATGTGACATTTACAGAGAGTGAGCTTGACGGAGTGTTCTCCAAGTGACATCTATTGACTATATTGCCTTTGGGAGAATTTGTTACAAGCCAAGTGCGCAACTCAAATCGACTTGCTTAATCGATTGGTAAGTTTTAAAAAACAAATGATTACACTGGAAGTGTTTGAAAATTATCACTGATAAGAAAAACAAGCAAACTATTTGAGATTAGGAGAAACCAAAGATTTTACTCTTTGGTAATGAACTAGATAGTGTATACATATGCAGACTACAACAAAATAAAACTCGTCAATTGATAGCAAATGGCGGTTATGTCACGAATACGACAAAATAATTGATTGTCCGTCTTGTAAAATGCGCATAAACCAGCTATCAATATTAACATAATTGGTTTAGTACACCATTATATGGGAAACTTTGTTAGAATTATAAAATTCTGCTTTACAAAAAAAAGGTATAAACAAGCGAGAAGTGAAATTTAAAAAGTTTAAAAATACTTCAGACATTAGTATATTACTGTAGGCATCGTTTATAACATTATCAAATTGGTTGATATCGTAATATTAGGAGATAATAAGAACAAAAAAGTTGAAAACAAAGTTTTAAGAATTGAAATTAGGTAGTTAGGAAGTGATTCAAAAGTGTTAATAGCAAAACAAAATTGATATAGACTGATAATAATAACAATTGCTGGTTGAGATGCGCATATGTCCAAAACAATATATCTAATATGGATTAATTAAATTCCACTAGATAAGAAGCTGAGCAGTTATATTCCAAAACTGCAATTCCGAACAATACAAAAAATGAGGAAAAGCATTTTCAGCATTTAACCGTATTGCAAATATATTCTAAAATGAGCCTTAAATTAACATGTTTATTTTACTTGTTTAAATAAAGAATGTGGCTAATGCTTGCATTATCACTTTAAAAATTCGCTTGCTAGGCCATAAAACAATTTGTTAGCCTATAAAACAATCAGTCAGAATCAAATCATATATACTTCCATAATTCTGTTTCGAATTAGGCATTTTAGTCAAAAATTTATTTTAATGCTAAATATGAATTCGATTCCTATATATTAATTTTTAATATAAAGAAATTGCTTGACGGTTATAGGTCAGATTCAATAGAAGGAAGGCAAACTTGATCGAAGTATTGTTTAGCAGTTAATGGTCATCTTGTTAGTTGACAATTTATTTTTTTAATAATTTCAAAACCCTTAGGAAGGATATAAAACGAAGGTGGCATTGTATGCAAAGTTATTTATGATAAACTGAAAGGAAAGTTGATAAGAGTAACCACCTATCACCACAACCATCCTTATCTTATCAGTCGCCTTTACCACTGTACAATGTGGAATTATTTCCTTCTTTTTCTTCCTCTTCCTCATTCTTGATGATAAATTTGTCAACTCTATTAGTTGCTCTGATTAATTTTTTCTTCACCTTCGTTTGTGTGTGTATGTGTATATGTGTATGTGTGTATGCTTGTTTGTTTGTGCGTGTGTGTGTATGTGTGTGTGTGTGTGTGTGTGCGTGTGCGTGTGTGCATGTATGTGTGTCATACATTTTCACCTATAAAGAGTGTATTGACGATAATAACTTCATTTCAATATTTATTTTTGTCCTATTTTTAAACAGGATTTCTTTCATGATCATTCTTTAAATATGTCACCTGAAATTGTGACTCGAATATATTCAATCTATAATTTAGGTTTTTTCGATTTTCGGTTTTATAATTTAGGTTAAATATTTACATATTTACCTGTAATTTACGTGCGAATAGCATAAAGCGACAAGTCATAGATATCATAAGCTCAGCTCTTGTTAGATGTCTTGGTATTTAATTTTTTCTTCGTTGTCAATTTATTAAAATTTAATTTTATCAATTCATCAAGAATTTAACTCACAATCAAGTGATCTTAACCGCATCCTCATTACTATTGTCATCTCAGAAATTTTTTAATCATTCTATAAATCAACCAATCCTTTTCCATTAGAATCAGCTTATTGCCGATATTCTCAAAGTTACTACTAAACGAATATACATCAATTTTGCCAATACTACTCAACCATTATTTCCAATTTTAATAAATTAAGTTAAAATTAGAACAGAAATAGGAAATCAAAGGACAATTAGCAAACGGAAAGAAGAAGACCTGTTTATAGATTAAATTTTCATTCAGTCATCATCTATCTCTCTTTGACCTTTTCCTATCAGTGTATTTCTGTTTGCTATCATCTCAATGTTCACACATATCTTTTTTCATTCACAATATACTGTCAACGTACTTTTTCTACAACAACGTATAATGTATAGCATATCTACGGATAACATATCCGTAGATATGGATATTTAAATCTATGGATATTTAAATTTTCCCTCCTTTTCGCCCATCCATATTAGCTGTTTACATACGGTAATAGACAAAGAGCCCATTGTGACATTATGACAGTACCCTACTTATTACTGTATCGCCTAGAAATTGTGTTGTTAAATCCTCTTTATTGACTTTATTTAATTGTATATGCACTCCTCTTAGACATTGTAAATCCCTCCTACTTGTCTGCTATATATATATATAAGGCATCATATCTCCGTTAAGAATTATTCATTTTCAATTCTTGATTCATTGTTTCGTTAATGTGAAGTCATCCAGATACCTCATTTCGTTCTGCTGTTTGAGTTCCAATTAATTATCGTTCAAAATACTGAATTTGCTACCTGTGATTACAACTTGAAAGTTTGAACTTTACAACATCGAGGGAAGTAAGCCCTTCATTTTCCCTTCATATTTTTACCTTTTCGCGACAATCATCGAAATAGTCTGATTATGGTGCAGTAGTCGAGACTTTTCCTGAGGTATTTGCTGTGATGAGAGAAATTCTCTGAGATAAGAATCTATTGGAGAAGCATTTTCAGAATGTCAATAGACGAGAAATTCTGGGCTGCAGCAAATATCGTACAAAAAATGCCGAAAACTGGTAAAGATTTTTTCTTCCTCCTATTGGCAGTATCAATCATAGATTTCGAAGTAAAAGGCTACTACTAAAGCCTAAGGCTTGTTTTGTTAAAAGTTTCAAGTGAAATATCTCAGAAAATAATTAAGGATTTATTAGCAGTGCTAATGCACCTGTTTCAATGAATTAGTGGCTTTGAATTCAGTGATTATTGGTCGGATAGATTGCTAAGATCCGACTAAGACACGTTGTCAGATCTGGAATTGAGGCTAATTAGTAACATCCAGGAAGTCGAAATGCTATTCAAACAAGTCTTATGATATCGAATTTCGATAGTAATAGTAAAAGTGGTTCAGATCAATAATATTTTAATTGAACGAATAAGTCAGGTGGAAAATGTGGCAGTTCTAATCATGAGGTCCATTCAGTTGTATCTGGCATATGATCAAGTGGCCAAGCAATTACACTAGAGTTATTGAGATGGGACACATTATGTGACATATTGCGTGACCGGCCATTAAATAGTCTTGAACGTGTAATTAGCTGTGCTTGAAAAAATCTCTATAACGAAATCGTCATATTTCGATTAATTGAGACGTGTTATAGGTCCAGTAGTGCCGACGAATGATGAGAAGCTTCTGTTCTATTCGCTGTACAAACAAGCAACAGAGGGTACTAATAAGACGGCACAACCAGGTTTCCTGAATTTTGTCGACAGAGCAAAATGGTTTCTCACAATTTGATCAGTTTTGTTTTCCGATTTAAAATACTAAAATTTACTCCCAGAGGAAATAGTAGTGAAAGGAGCTTTTTTTGGGAATGCTGTACGAATGTTGAGCATGTTTGTCAGTGTTCTGTATTTTGGTTAGGAAAGAGCACCGAATATAATCATCCGTTTAAGTGAGAACAAGACATATTCTGGAAATAATGATTTGTGACTTCAACTTGCTAGCTTGCAGGGAAGCATGGAGAAAACTAGGTGAAATGTCGTCAGATGAAGCAAAAAAGAAGTATATTAGTTTGGTGAAGGAAATTGTTGATAAGATGTCGAAAGTAATGGATGTGAACGAATGGCTTCAGAAAATTGATCCCACATTGCCGGAGAAGCTTACCTTAATTATGGCAGAATAATTATATTTACAATTGATAACTTATATTACCATTGTATAAAGTTTCCTGGTCAATAAGAAGCTAACACCAAATTGTTTTTGATGGTGGAAGAGGCGTATGATTCTCGGTCGTTTTATTTGAGGAGGTATGAATGGATGTAAATGAGTTTTTTTACCCTTTTTTTCGGAATCTTCATTTAAGACGATACCATTTAAACATTAAATATATGGGAAACGTTAGCAGAGTAACGTACAAGACATTTTACACGCTGCAATCAGGAGTAAAATCGGGACAAGTGATAAATTGCAGTGTGAACAAGCAAAGTGAAGAGACCAAATGTCACGTGAAATTCGATGGGGAGCACGTGGAGTGTGTGTCTGTCAATGTATGTTGGCAGTTGACAGCGAGCAACTTATCTTACTTAGCAACCTAGGAACTTATCTTGCTTCTGATTTATCTTACCGAACTACTAATTAATTCGATTTAAGGTGTGCCCGAAGAGGATGTTACTGATTTTCAGCTTTCAAAATTGAATTGTCGGAGTTAACTGCTTATGTTTTCTAACATCAACATGTAGAAAAATTATCCGGCCTTTTGTACTTTAATGAAAAAGGATGATTTGTGATTATTAGATAAGGATAAGTGAGAAATTGTAAATTAAATGATTTGGACGGTCCTTTTTCGCTGCATTATCTAGTGGTCTTGGTATAGTAGTTATTCGTTCAATCATTCTTTGATATCCTGGCATTTGCTATTTAATTGGTACAAATGGTATGCAGGTGGTTCGAAGTTAAGCTACAAGTTATTCAACGTTTAAGTGTTGATCGCATACACTTCTTAGCCTTTGATGGCAGACAAAGTAGGAATTGAAGCTTTTTGATGCCCTCAAAATGGCGGTGGGTTGTTAATCGGTTCAGTTCAGCTCAGTTCGGTTCAACTAATTCCATTTCTTCTGAATGATATCTGTCAAACCGGAAGAGTATTTTCTGTTATAAGAATTTTAATTAATTGTAGAGAAACAAATTAGCTTCCTCTGGCTTTGTTCTGGCCACTTGTTGCCATTTCCGAATATTCATAAGCTCTTATCTCCTCGTTTTCTTGTCGTGAAGTAATGAAATAGCAGGAGATTTTTCTTTTCTAGTAATATCTAAATGTTTGTAATGAAATTTAATCAGGGTTTAAATTGTATTAATTGGCTTTCAATTGTACTTTCAATCGCATCATAAAGTAAGGTTATACCCTTAAGTGGATTATCCGACAATTTAGCAAACATTTGTGGCATTGGAAATTTACTACTGCTAATATTGAAAACTATAGTAACTTATTTATCTAAATGATACCTGCCAGGAAAATGGTGGAGTTGCAAACCAGGAGTGGATCGTTTTCTACGCAACCATAAATGTCTCAAGTTCTTGGATAATGTGCAAGCGGATTTCTTGTTAGTGCAGGTGGGCTTCAGTACTAACTCTAACTATTATATTAGGATTTCGTGAACCAATGGTAATGGATGGGTGAAATATTTTTCCTTGTGCGCTAAGAAAAACGATTCTCAAACCTGCTGCGCCACATTTAACCCTAATTGTTTTAAAATATATTCACCTGGAAAGAAGGCTTTTTGCATGATAAATTGGGAATTTCAGCGATCGAAATAAACACTTGTATCAGCTGATTCACTCGAGTGAACTCTGACCTCATTGCATCTCATAACCACCGACCACAAGTGATATGATCGGAAATTTGATTTAACGCGATTTCAGATTTGCGGAAATTAATACATCCGTTTCCAGAACATAGAACTGAAAAGCTAATCTTTGTCAATTTCTGCCTTAGTGTATGCATTTCGTAAGATGCAAATTTATGACAGGATGAAGGAGGTTAGCCTGATCAGATATGATGTTGGGGTTGGAAATTTCGAGAGATAAATTTAAGTAGAAGATTTGATGATTTGAATTGAAAAGAATCGAATAAAATATATAATAAATGTTAAAATTGTTCGTTGGCAAGAGTTCTCTATTTTTTCGGGAGTGTTATTTAGTTATTTTCTAAAATTTCTGGCACAAAAAAGTTTCAGAATGTTTTAAGCTTTCAACAATTTCAATATTTAATATTCCTACTTCAAATATTATTTACATTTCTCTTGTATCGAAAATTAATTTTCAATAATGATTGAAGGATACATTTCACTCAATTGTATCACTCATTAATTAATAACCATAGTTGCGATAGTTTTGGATCGAATCAAAATAATCCAATTTTTATTCAAATTTGAATTTAATAAGGTTATAAGGAATTACGTAATGTTATTAATCTCTTATCTCCTTCCACTTCTACAATCTCTGATGGCATTTATCGTCAGGATGATTTTAAAGAATAAATTTTAAACTAAACGAGTAATTGTGAAGAGAGATTTAGGGAAGTTCTAAGTGGGAATGAACTTTTTTCCCTTTTTTCTTTTTAATGCTTAACCCAATATGGATAACAATGATATCTGTTACGAACATACAATTGTCCTTTGACCTACACCTAAACATGAAAACAGAAAGAATTATGGGGAATCAATCAAGATTTTGCCAATGTTAAAGTAAAGCTTTTAATCAAATGGAATTTTTAACGACGTGTTTGATTTTGAAGTTTATATTGTAATGTATGCGAGATATGAATTCAGAAGTTGAAATATATCATCTGGAACTCACCTGAAACATTCAATTAAGTTGGCATTTTGTTTGAAGGAAGTGGAAGAGATTTTACGGGCACAGAAACTTGGCGGAGAATTATTTCTTCCATTAATACAAACAGAGTTTATTTCAACTTGTTTGTTAAATTATCAAGAAATTTATAAAATTTGCAAGTTGAAGTATCTCACTGTACTTTAATCAGCTCTCTGATCAACATAATGTTAACAGTTATTTAATGAAGAATCGAAAATTAAAGTAGTAGTGGAACAAAAAAAAAAAAAAAATGGAATGACGAAAAATCAGGTAATTAAATGGCTAATTTGAAACAATGACACATAAACTTTGATTTCCTTTTCTTTTTTTTGAATACAAATCAAAATTATTTCCTTCCAATTACAGTGACATGCTACTACTTGTCAATTAGAATCTTTTATAGAATTCATTCTTTTGACAAGAATTCTAAATATCTCATACTTTTTTGTCGTATTTCTTTTTTTTTTTATTCATTTGATAATGACAATTCCATATTTGATGAATTTTCATTTTCTATTACGACGATTGTTTCCTAGCTAATATAAATACAATCGCGAATTATTACCAACGGAAAAATATACGGTATAATCTAATTAATACCATTATTAATCTATTCAGGTTATGAAATTGTGAAATAAAAATATCATTAGACAAATTTTCGATATGCCAAAAATATTATGCAAATAATTTGACTGGAAAACATTGATTTTGCAGTATCTTGGATTATCAGTTATTTGCTACAATGATTTTTTCATTTATCAGAATGAATCATTGTCACCTGAAATGTCATGATGTTTATTATCTATTACGATGAACAAAATTGAGAAAAAGAAAAAAATGTATGTCACATGTCATGTTATTCAATGTTATGTATCATTGCTCAAAAAAAAAAGTGTCGATAATTAGAGTATTTTGCACTTTGTTTGTATTCATTGATTAATAAATTAAAATTAACAGTTTGAACTTTGTTATTTCTTGTTAACACATTCTATTGCACTAAATTATACCTTCAGCTTTATTTACTGTAAAAATTCCTAATGGTCGTTTTTTTTTTTAATTTGATCCATTAATTAATTATTGACAATTAAAATTTCTCGATTTTATTTAATTTTTGCTCATTGTTCCTTGAATTATTTACAATTAATTCCTTTTTTTTTGATATCTTTTGTGCTATGAAAAATTTTTGGAATAAATATGAGAAAAATTTGTTAATATTTGAATGTAATTACTTACAAATATTTTCAATTCTTAGGTTTAAATATCATTTTTAGGATATTTTAGAAGTACCGGAATTAATTATGAATTTAATCATTAATATTTTATGAGATAAATAATTCTTCCTTTTTAATAGTATTAAAGGTTGACTACCATACCTTAAAATTTATCAATTTATATGTATAAGTTATGCGATGAATGTCATTAATTTGTTTTATTCTCTTATTGCTTTTTCTTTTTGAAAAAACAAAAAAAAGATTGAAATATTTTTTGAAATTTTATTTGACGAATGAAATTTAGCTCTATAAATTAATGGATAAATGGGGGGAAAGAAAAAAAAAGATACGAAAAATTGCTTTCGGCAAAGTAAATTAAAAAAAAAGAAAAGAAAAGGAAAGAAAAGAGGATTGAAGGACAAATTACAATTTAAGAAGAGAAAAAAAAAGAAAATGATAAATAAAAAGTGGAAGAAAAGAGAGAACTTGTTGAAACGAAGCGATTTATGCATTACATTTTTGCATTGTCAATTAAATGATGACGAAATAATTTCATTCCTTCGTCATCAAAAGAGGAAGTAAAAAACCATTTACGTCGTATGTCGTAATTTTGCTTTCTAAACTAGCATTTAAAATAATTAAAAAATCATATCAAACATTGAAATTTAAATGTTTAAAAGAGAATCTCTTTTTTTGAAAAAGAAATTACAATTTTAATTTTTCCTCAAAATTAATTATTGTGATATTTAAATTATAGAATGTAATCTTTTTTTTTCATTTTACCAATAAAATATGTCAGATTTTTTTTATTCCGAAAAACTGGATTTTTTTTTACTGGATTAAAACTGGATTTTTTAATATTTTTTTTTTGAAGGAAAACATTTAAATTAATTTATTAATTTTCCGCAAATTTTATTCACTTTTCTTATTATTGTATAATACAATCGATTCATTGCAAATATTTCAGTAAGAATTGATGAAAATTTACACTTTTTTTTTTGCTTTCAAAACACTAAAATGTGTTAATTTCACTCATTCGATGAATTGTACCTTTTCAATTTTTAAATTAAAAAAAGAAAAACAGAATTGAAATGAAGGAAATCATTATATCATCAGGTCAATCAAACCAACAAATATAATTAACACTTTATTATCCATTTTATTAATCAGTAACATTTTAAGTGAATCATCATTATTATCTTTCTAATTTAACTTTGGTTTTCTTTCTTTTTTTTTCTTTTGGAAATTAATTTTGGAGGAACGATAATTAAAGAGGAAATTTTAGGATTGAAAATGAAAACTACTGCTAATACACTTACAGCTTTATTATATTGTAAATTCATAAATGATTAAAAATTTTAAACAACAAATTTCATTCGCTTCATGTACATTTTTGATTTAACATGTGCTTAAAACTTTACTTTAAAATTTTATAGCAAGAAAAAAAAGGGAAACAAAATGTTTTAAAATTGAATCGTAAATCCTAAAATTGATGCATTTAATTGTTTTTGTATTTCGGTATATCATTTTTTTTGCTCATTAAAACTTGAAAGTTTACTGCCAAAAAAAAAATAAAATTGCTAGAAAAGTTTATTACGCATATTATCTTAAAATTTTCAAGAAGAAAAAATTGAATGACATTTAAATTGTTAATTAATTATTCCACAAATTAAAAAAGAATAAATTAATTAGAGAATTAATTTTTTCTCTGCCATTCAAAAAATTTTGTCCACTTTTTTCTTTTCTTTCTGATAATTTATTGTATTATTGTTTTTTTTCTGTTTCTTTTTGTTTTTGACATAGTCTTACTATGAAGGAAAGAAAATATGAAATATTTCATTTAACATTCAATAATTAGGGGTGAAATTACCATGAACATTTTTACTTATTTCATTGATTTTTTCATTATCAAATAAACGAGTGATAAGCGGGTGAGTGATAAGATATTTTATCCAACAGATTGAGATTGATAATTTTGAACTTTAACAGTTTATTGCTTTTGTTGCATTGAAAATTAGATCATACAAAATGTGATTGTTTTTTTTTCCTTCTTCTTTAGTAAAATTTAATTTTTTGTTTGTTCAAATAATCAAATAATGATATATATTCACATGAAAAAATTGTTGTTGGATAGAATGATAACTATCATTACAACTGATATTTTTAAACAAGCAAACTTGTTTTTATTGAAATTATATAACTAAACAATATTTTTACCCTTTTTACACCATTTTTCTTTCGCAAAAAATTTGACAAAATCATTTTACGATAGAATGAACTATTTGTTTTATTTTATTTTTACCATCAAATTTCGGATGGGTTAGAAGAAATTTGATAAGGAAAAATTTTTTAATTATTAACGACCAAAAAGAAAAAACTCAAAATTATATCAAATATTAGAGAAAATTTAAATAGCATCAAAAGTATTAGAAACTTTTCAATTTTTATACTAAAATATTTATTTCTAATAAAAAAAGCAAAAAAAGAATAGTATACAAATCAGGAAAAAAGTTTTTTTTTTGAAGACAAAAATTTCACTGGCAATTCACCCTATAAAAGTTTATAAAAAAAAGGTTTGAGTTAATTTTTTTTTCCTGTGAATATAAAATAATTTGCAGTTTTAATATGATAGACGACGAAAAAAAAAACGAAGAAATGGAAATAATATAAATAGTTGCGATAAAATACCGTAATTTGGTATGGTATATTCTGTTGATGATAACAATATGATATAGTGAAACAAATTTAATAGCTACATTTAATCTGAAAGCAAAATCAAAAATGCTACGATTTATTTTATCCCACCAAAATTTTTTCGTAGTGATTCTCATAGTAATAACAACAATTTTGTTAAAAAATTTTATAAAATTCATGGAGTGCAATAATATTAAGTTTATATATACACAGCATATATATATATATATACAGCTACAGTATGGTACGATGAGATACTGTAGCTTTGTACAGTATATTCCGTTGATGATAACAATATGATATAATTGATCAAATTTAATAGCTAAATTTAATCTACATATATACATAAAACAAAAATGCAAAAATATATATAAGAGGAGTATATATATATAAAGTATTTTTATTCTAATTAGTTAATTTTGTTATTTGAATATTTTATTTTTGATTTACATTTATTTAATGCTGTCGCTAACATTCTGAGCCAATGATAGTAATAATAATATTGTTGGTAATAATTGATTCTTTTATTCCATTTCATTAATAATTAATTTTAATTAGTATAAGGATATTTGCATATCACGACATACACTATTCAAAATACATATCTATAATTAATGTTAATTTATAACTTTGATATATACTGATACTGGTATAAATGCATGCAACTACCTATAGACTGCTTAATTTCCTTCTTTTTTTTTTAAAAATCTCTTTTTTATTGAAGGACGGAGGAAAATCAGAAAATCAAAAGAAACCGGTCGTTTTATTAGGGCGGTATCATCGTATTTCGAGCACACAGACACGGACCTATACACAAATACATACATACATACACAAGTAAATAGAGACGATTATATTTCAAACTTATTATCATGACTCTTCAAGATCATCGTTTGTCAACGCACGCTTTTGTCGTCGTCATTGTTATCACTACTATATCATCTATTCATTCAGATATTATTATTATTACTCACTGGAATTTTTAAAATTGTTCATTTTGAAAATGATGCTAAATAAGAAAATTTTGAAAATTTAATTAGTAATGAATGGCTATGATTAGATAATTTGGTTGGTGCACATTGCGGAAATATAAATCAATCGTATAAACATTTATAAATGTTTACAAATTTTTCGAATAAAATAAGTTCAAACGAATCATCATTATTTGTTGATAATATCTATGTCTATATTATCATTTATATTCTTATTACACATTATCTAATCATTATTATTCCTTGATAATATTTATTATCACTTATCTTCTTATCATTACTATAACCTATAAATATAGTGTGTTTCATAGTTATCATTATCATTTAAAAGTAAATAGTCATTGTTTGTCGCCTATTTTTTCCTCTTTTTTTTGTTTGTCTCATTGAATATACTTATATGAGTGATCAGAAAAAAAAGAAAAAGTTAACGGAAATGTTTGAAAATGCTATGACAATGATTTTACTTTTTTCTTTTTTTTGTTTTGTCAATTTTTTGTTCATTTACTTCTTTCTCTTTTCTTTTCGTTCTTTTTTTTGCAGCAACGACAACTATCAATGTCAACATATTTGGTTGTAAAATGGCAAACAAATATTTATATTTTGATACTTTCTATTGCTGCAGGTATATCTCATGCCGCTAAATCGAAGCGGGGTGAATTATCGGTAGAAATCGGACGACATTTTCCATGTTCTTCTAATTCAGGTAATTTTTATTTTTATTTTTTTTTTAAACAAAAAATTAATTACTTGTTTCTTTTTTTAAAATTCAAAATATAAATAGTTAGGTACGCTAGCATATAGTTGTTAATAAGCTTAAAAAGAAAAGGGAAAAATAAATTTAAAAACTTCAAATTAAATTCAAAAAAAAGGCTTATCCAAAAAATGAATTAATGAATGTACTTAATACATTGTTGCATTTTAGAAATAAGATCAAACTTAAAAATTATTATCATACTGATATTTAAATCATTTAGATATATATGTTTGTAAACTGACCAGTATCTTTATTCTTAGATATTTCCTGAAAATGATCGGATCAATTTGTTTTCTTTCTTTTTTATATAATATTCAGGTTTGATCCGTATGAGTGACCAGTCTTACAACATCCAAATTCATTTCATTAACCCTTTTTTCTTTCTTTTTTTATAAAGGTGTATAATAAGTAACCAAGTGATGATCAAAAAACCAAGATAATTTCCGGAACATTTATTAGCACTACCTAATTATCATTTAGTATATGTATTTTCTGATGCTAAAATGTTCACGTACTAAGTCTGTTAATGACGTGAACGTGGACAGTATGCAAGAATTTTGACGTGACCTTATTATACATGACCTTATTCACAATCTGTTCCTTTTCAATTAAAAAGAAAAACGGGAAAAAAAGGAATCCACTGTTTTAGTTTACAAATAACAATTCTTTAAACATTTCTGATTAAGGTCAAAGCTGGATATTCATTACTGAGGTCAAAGCTTTGTAAAAATGACCAACTTGTAATAGTAGTGTCTATGAATTAATGCTTTGCTAAACTGAACAAAATTCAAACAAAAAAAAAAGAAAAAAAATCGGGAGGAATTTGAAACCAAAAATCAAATATGTTCAAATTATCACCAACATTTCTTTTTTTCTTTGACATATATTGGACATAATGAGATATATATTTTGACATGTACTGGATATGATGCGATATATTAGCTGGAAGAAAAGTTTGAAACTATTTATTTGTTTAACAACTAATTAATTTCCCATTTTAACTCCTTTTTAGTGTCTATATTTCTCATTAAATATAAAATATTGTCATTCCATTTCAACCATAACAAATTTTCAAATTTTTCCTTTTTCATTTTTTTTCCTAAATTAATCATTTAAAATGTATTCATATAATAGCTACAAATGATTTGAATGAAAAATAATTCATTTGGTTAAATATGTTTTTGCAATTAAGGAATAAAAGCGATAAAAATTCATTGGAATTGTATTATCGATTATTTTATTTTATTAATATACATCTCACTTGTGAATGTTATTAATTGCAATTAATCATTTTGTTAATATAAATCTTATTTGAATATAATTAATTATATAATGGAAACATTTATTTGGATATGAACATTCATAACAAAAAAAGATTCAACTTTCTTAAAAATGTTAAGACGCATAAATACACACACACACGCACACACACACACACACACACACACACACACACACACACACACACAC